AGGGCAAGAGAGTGAACTCAAGCCCTCTTATAATCAGCATTAATTCATTCATGAGGGTGGGTTCTGCAGACTTAAACTTCTTCCTTTAGGCTCCACCTCCCGACACTGTTATGTTGGGGATTATGTTTGCAACACATGCATTTGGGAGGACATATTCAAAACATAGTACAGTAGATGCAGACAAAACAAAGAAGTTTTTCTGCTCTCAAAATGCTTCCTTTCTCTGGGGAGCAGGAGTAGGTAATAAACATATGAACAAGAGAATACAGTCATTCCTCAGTATCTGTGGGGGATTGGGTCCAGGACACCTGTGAATACCAAAATCCGCACACGCTCAAATTCCTGATGCTGGCCCTGTGGAACTTAAGTATATGAAAATTCAGCCACCCATTTCTGAGAGTTTAACATCCCTCAAATACTGTATTTTCGATCCATGTTTGGTTGCAGGTGCAGGACCTGTGCATATGGAGAACTGACTGTATTTACTGACAAAAGCTTGTGTACAAGTGGACCCATACAGTGCAAACCTATATCATTCAAGGTCAACTGTACTGAATAATGATAAGTGCTACAAACGCAAAAAGGCCAGATTAGGTGATGAGGAGTGGCTGCCTGGGCTCCCATCAGCTGAGAGCCAGGGAAAGCCTGACTTGAGGCATCAGTGAAGCTCACCAGGTAAAGATGTGCTGCACAGCACACTAGGCACAGCCAAGACCAGCGACAAGGCCAGTGTGACTGGAGCAGAGTGACAGTGATGGGCAGGAAGGGGGAAAGCACTGGGAGATGCTCTACAAGGTTGGGGCGCAGGGCCACAACATGGATGTGTCATGCCCAGTACCCCAGGACAATGACCTCTAAGGACTCTTCCAGCTTCAACCTTCTCAAGACCTACCTCAAGATTTAAGAGGTTCTTTATGCCAAATATGATTCCTTAATTTAACCATCTAGATTTTGTGACTTTCAATTCGGAGTTTTCTTATTTTCATTCCAATTTTTAATCCTATGACCAGAAAAAAAAGTTTCTAACTTTATGGCCACACCTTTTCATATACCATATGTTTCATCTCAATACAATCTTATATACACAGCCCAATTTCGTTAAAAGACTATTCTTGAGTAAAGATTAACATAATTTACTGGCAAATATCTAAATTGACATTTAGCATACAAATGAAACCAAAAGGTCAGGAAATGAAAACTGCTTCATAGTTTTTACAAAAGCTGCACCTGCCCCAGATCAGTGATTAGTACCAAAGAGAAAGGCTAATTTTCCCTATTGATGCTTCTGTTGTTTCCGACCACCCCTTCTGCTGTGATCCCCCAGGCAACAAATGAAGCCATTGTGAAGTCTTTTCTGGTCCTTTCAATGGGCAATTACACATTTTTTAAGACAATAAATTTTGTTCTAGTGCAGCTGATTACATTCGTTTATGAAAATGACTAAAGGCAGTGAATCATTTTTTTTCTGTCTGGTGATGTTAAGATAATCACCAGAGCCATAATAGACAAGTGGAGTGGACCTGGAATTAGGAAACCTGGAGCTGAGTCCCATTCTTCTACCAGCAAGCTGTTGATTTTCAGTAAATGATGGCATCTCTCTAAGCCTCTATTTTCTTATCTGAATAAAACGGATAAGTGTACTCCAACTCAGAGAGCTACTGGGGGTAAGGGGACATCCGGAAGTCTTCCAAGGCATTGGTAAACTTCCATTTCATATATATGTGTTTGTCATATTATTCATCATTAAATATCTGTACACATTTTTTTTTCTTTCTTTTCCTTTTTTTTTTTTTTTTTTCAGACAGGGTCTTGCTCTGTCACCCAGGCAGGAGTGCAGTGGTGGGATCACTGCTTACTGCAGCCTCAGCCTCCTAAGTAACTGGGATTATAGGTGCATGCCACTACATCCAGCTAATTTCTCATTTTTTTACAGAGAAAGGATCTTACTATGTTACCCAGGCTGGTTGGGCTCAAATCAATCTTCCCACCTTGGCCTAAAAAAGCACTGGGATGGCCGGACGCGGTGGCTCACCCCTGTAATCCCAGCACTTTGGGAGGCCGAGACGGGCAGATCACGAGGTCAGGAGTTCGAAACCATCCTGGCTAACACGGTGAAACCCCGTCTCTACTAAAAAAATACAAAAAATTAGCCAGGCACGGTGGCAGGTGCCTGTAGTCCCAGCTACACGGGAGGCTGAGGCAGGAGAATGGCGTGAACCTGGGAGGTGGAGCTTGCAGTGAACCGAGATCGCGCCACTGCACTCCAGCCTGGGCGACAGAGCGAGACTCCATCTCAAAAAAAAAAAAAAAGCACTGGGATTACAGATATGATCCACCACATCAGGCTCACATTTTCTTCATGTGTGATATGTATGATATATTCCATAATAAGTTTCTAAAACAGGCAATAAATAGCTGTTGACATACTCGACAAAAAGTAAATACAATATGAGTTTTCCTCTGGATCTCCTAACAAAAAGAATAAATCTAGATACAAGACAAAAATCATTTTCCCCTCACATCAAAACATGGCATTTTGAAAAATAGTTTAATGGAAAGAGTAATCAGTGACATTGTTGAAAAAGACAAAGACTATATCATGTTTAGTACAGCTCCCTTCCACCCTGGCCCTCCATTTTCCCCTCACTTGTGGTTTTCTAGATCTATCTCCAGAAATATTCCAGAGAGACCAAGAAATTATCTTAAAAGCAGCAAGAGAGAAGCTTATAGAAGCATTTCTGTGTGCAGCACTGTTTTACATGAACAAAAGTATGTTATATGTGCTGCTCTATATTTGCATTTTTTTCATTTATCTTAGAGATCTTTCAGTATCAGCCTGTGAATTTAGCACAGATTTGTTTTTTCTGAAGCTCACTGGAGCAGCGTGGAGAATGGGAAGGGGTATACAGTGGGTGTGAGGCAGACAGATGTTTTCCTTATTCCCAGTGGTTTTGAAAACATCAGGCTAATGCCATGCTGCAGTGACCACCTGCCACAGGTGGTCATCCAGCGGGAAGTGTCCATATGGCATGAGAATCACTGCCACTCAGGTGCAGTTTCCACGTGCTGGGTACCGAGCAGGTCAGTCCTCAAGGCCAGCTGCTTATGTTATTCAGAGGGGGAGATCAGAGTTCCGAGAGGTTAAGTACTTCATCTGTGCTCACCCAGTTAGTCGGTGCTTCCTCCCAACCACTAGGTTCACCACCCCTTTTATGCAGGCCCACAAATTGAGCCCTCCAGATGCTGTGGGGGCTGGCTCATGACAGTGGTGAAAGTTGAATTTGGCAATTCCCTCGTCATCCTGTCAGAATGCCATAGAAATTCAAGGAAATTCTGTTGATGATGTTGATAGATAAGCTGCTGACAGCAAATATTCTTAGATCTTTGAAGAGTTTCTTTCAAGTGTTAACTACAGTCATATGTCATGTAATCACAGGGATACATTCTAAGAAATGTGTCATTAGGCAATTTCGTTGTGTAAACATCATGGTGTGTACTTGCACGAAACTAGATGCTATAGCCTACAGCACACCTCAGCTATGTGGTAGAGCCTATTACTCCTGGGCTACAAACCTATACAACATGTCACAATACTGAATGCTGTAGGCAACTGTGACACAATGGTAAATATTTATGTATCTAAACATAGAAAAGGTACCCTAAAACAACAGTATAAAATGTTTAAAGGCTGGGCGCGGTGGCTCAAGCCTGTAATCCCAGCACTTTGGGAGGCCGAGACGGGCGGATCACGAGGTCAGGAGATCGAGACCATCCTGGCTAACACGGTGAAACCCCGTCTCTACTAAAAAAATACAAAAAACTAGCCGGGCGAGGTGGCAGGCGCCTGTAGTCCCAGCTACTCGGGAGGCTGAGGCAGGAGAATGGCGTAAACCCGGGAGGCGGAGCTTGCAGTGAGCCAAGATCGTGCCTCTGCACTCCAGCCTGGGCGACAGAGCGAGACTCCATCTCAAAAAAAAAAAAAGAAAAGAAAAAAAGATTTAAAATGGCTCACCTGTATAGGACACTTACCATAAATGGAGCTACAGGACTGGGGTTGCTCTGGGTGAGTCAGTGAGTGAGTGGTGGGGGAATGTGGAGGCCTAGGACATGGCTGTGCACCACTGCAGATTCTATAAACACTGTACACTTAGGCTACACCAAATTTATTTTAAAATATTTTTCTTTAACAAATTAACCTTAGCTTACTGTGACATGTTTACTTTATAAAATTTTAATTTCTGTTACCTTTTGACTCGTAATAACACTTAAAACACACACTATACAGATCTACAAAAATACTTTATATCCTTATTATGTCAGCTATTTTCTATTTTTAAAATTTGGTGTTTTTTTGTTTGTTTTGTTTTTTCACTTTTTAAGCTTTTTTGTTAAAAATGAAGACACAAACTCACACGTTAGCTGAGGCCTACACAGGGTCAGGATCATCAATATCACTGGGTTCCACCTCCACATCTTGTCCCACTGGAGGGTCTCCAGGGGCAATAACATGCATGGGGCTGTCATCTCCTGTGAGAACAGTGCCTTCTGGAATACCTCCTGAAGACCTGCCTGAGGTTGTTTTACAGTTAACTTTTTTCTTCTAAGTGGAAGGAATACACTCTAAAATAACAATACAAAATATGGTGGAGTCAAGATGTCAGCTGGAAACTTTTTAAAAAGATTTTGAAAAGTATAACATAGTAAATGCATAAAGCAGTAATAGTCATGTATTATCAAGTATTATGTACCATACGTAATTGTACGTGTTATGCTTTTTGTAATCTGCAGTGTGGTAGCTTTGTTTATACCAGCATCACCACAAACACGAAGTCACGCATTGCACCAAGACATTATCCCGTGACTAGACAAATGAGGTTTTCAGCTCCATTGTAATCTTACGAAATCACCATTGTATACGATTCATTGTTGACTGCAACATCACTAGGTGGGATATCACTGCATTTTGCTTGAAGTTCCACGAGTTCTCCTAAAGTTACTTGGTGACATTTTATGATTGCTTTCTGCTCGTCTGAATAAAGGGTGAGCCCAGGGCCTGCTGCCCACTGTCTGCTCTGATGACCCTCTCTCCCCTGCAGATTCGAGTGATGGTGGACCTGTGCAACAGCACCAAGGGCATCTGCCTCACAGGTAGGCCGGCCGCTGAGCAGAGCCGCTCACACAACAAGGACTTGCGCCGCCGAAGGCCCGTGGCAGAATAAACACCTAGGGACACTTCGTGTTATAAAAATACATGTTGGTTTACTTTTACCAGATGTTTTTAATGACTTGAAAACCCATTGTAATATGATTATGAAAAATAATATTTTTCAGTATTGCCATAGAAATATAGCCATGGAAAATAACTAGGACTTGGGTAATTAGAAACGTGTGGTACCTTGAACCAGAGCCATAGATGTTTTTCTTATTCCCATTAGTTTTTAAAAGGGGGGAAAAAGGAAGGGAAAAGACCTTGCTAATTGATACAGTTCTTTTATCAGAAGTACTTATTGGCCAGATTGGCCAGGTGTGGTGGCCCAAACTGTATGTCGTGGAGTGCTACAGCAGTCCCCTCTGACTGTAAAACATGACCATGAGACCTGAAGCCACCTGAAGCTTTTGCTGGATCTCTCAGTTGATGGTCCCAGTCTCTGGGGAGGCCGGGCTAGAGCTTCTCAGGTTTGAGAAACCCTGCACAGTTTGCATCATGTCGTAGGAAGCCTAGCCTTTTTCCACAGTACTTCCCCCACCTCCCTCTCGTTACCTGCCTTGTATTAGGAGTGCAATGTGAGTTTGCTGAGTGAATAAACCTGTGGGTATATGAGTGTGTGAACGGAGGTGAGATGGTAAGAAAGAAACTCCCCTCAGGAACCCCAAATCCAAGTCTGACTCTCGTTCACTTATTTTGGCCTCAGAGAGAAAAACTATAATCCTGTGGCTTCTTGGGAAATGCTAATTGAATAGCTCAAGTCATATTCCGGCCCTCACTGAAAATTAAAGATCTTCAGAACAGCTTGGTCCTTTATTCTGAAACTCTTGTAGCTTAAGCATCTTTCTTCCATCTCTGGAAGTCCCTTTTCAGAGTTACATGCGACAGTAATGAGTGCTAGAGAAATGGATGGATGGAATTACAGGCACAAAAGCCTGTTGAGAGGCACAGGAAAAGCCTCTTCCTTTTTTATTTTTTTAATAGTGATAGACCTGAGAGCCAGGCTGTACAGTGAATGCACGGGACGGAGCTATTGAGACCACTTAGGAGAGATTGGCAGGGAGTAGGGGATGACATCCGCGCTGGAAGTGGGTTGAGTAGGTTTTCTTTAGCACTTTGAAAAGCTTTTCAAAAGACAGCACCTTCTCCTTTCATGCCAGCTTGAAATTGGGCCTCCTTTTACACAGAAAGTTCTTCAATTAAAATTAGATGTGAAAAGTACAAGTTGCAAAGTGAGAGGATGCTTTGGGATAGACCATGAGGTCCGGATTGGGGGCAGGGTAGTGGGCAGGAGGGTGAGTGACAGGACCCAGGAATGAACTGGGTAGCTTCAGAGGGTGGACAGAGAGCGTTGGTCTTGAGCCCTAAGAGGATGCCTGGCAGGAAGATGTGCCAGAGCAGAACCTGGGCTTGGGGACTGGGAACAAGATTTATCGTTCCACTGGATTCATCTTTGAAAAAGCAGGTACTCATAACTTGAGGCTAGTCCAGCTGTGACCAGGTAACCCGGCTCCCGTCCCTCTTCCTTGCCCAGCTGTTGCTGCTATGCTGCTATGGCAGTCAGGACAGATGCTATGTGATTTTGTGCAACCTTTAACATCTCAGGTGGATTGTGAGGGTAATCCCCTAGCTAGAGAAATTAGTTATTTTTGCTAGTACAGAGTTTGTCAAACAACACATGCTTTTCTGAATGCATCTTACTCTGGAGCCCAGATTTCCTTGGGAACCCAGAAGCATATCTTCTGGGAGAGCAGGTGTCTTGAAGAAGCCGTGTTATCGGGTTATTCTTCACTCACTGCATCCTCTTCATGTGTATCTGTTGGAAAACATCTAAATCATCACGTTACTGAACTGCATATTGGGGCAGAAGCACTACACATTCTCCTTGTAGCCAAGTGACCCTAACCCAGTCATGATACATGTCACTACTCTCTCATTCTGTACCTAGGCAAATATCAATCATGGATCAATGCTGCTGAGCACAGCCTCACAGCATTCTTTTCTGCTGTTCCAGAAAGCCAACGCTAATTGACTGGAACTGGCACTTCTCTCTGCAGACTGATTTGTTTTTGGTGTTCATGGCCATCACAGGCCTCAAGTTTACATAACTAGGGGCATTGTGGGCCAATTTTAGATTTCAAGGGAAAAAAAAATATCTAAGTGGCTCAGCTCTTATCAAGCATCCACCCAATTTTAATCGATTCTGGTTAGGAGTGTGGGATGGGTACAGTTAGCATGAGCTACATAATCTGCAGGGCCCAGTACAAAATGAAAATGCAGGGTTTCTTCTCCAAAAGAAGCAGGAAAAAGGATTTCTTCTTTCTTCCACAGTCTTGACCTGTTTTGGTGTGAGTTTTTAATCTGCTACCTAATGTCATACTCCGCGAAGCATGGAATACTTATAGGGCAAGTACAGACCCAGGGGTCTTGCCTTGTGACTCAGGCATGCAGGGCACCACTCAGCCCCACCTTTCCTGCACTTGTGCCCCAGCCCCTACCAGGGTGGAAGGTGGCAGAAGTTACTGATGGGGCAAGGAGTACAGAGAGTACAAAGAGTACATCATGGGGCAAGGGAGCAGGTGGCATGTCCTGGGAAGGTGGTGGGAGGTGAGACCCCACCAAGCCCTCTGTGCATACTTTATTGACCCGTTGGACTTCACTTACAAAACACAAATTCAAAAACAAGATCACTGGGAATTTCTAGATGGCGACCGCAGAGCATTAAGCCCACACCTGAAGCCCCCTTGTGAGGTGAAACCCTATGCACCTGCGTGGGTGGCAGGCCCCGGACACCAGCCTTGCATGCACTGTTAGCATGAACATGGATGTCTGCACACATTGCTCGAGGATGTGCTATTCAAGAAAGGGAGAAGGGTCAGGAGCTGAGAAACAGTTTTTTAAACACTCGGTTGGCAAACATCATGACATTTGACATTATTTGACACATGTAGGAGCTCTTCCAGATGTCAGGCCCCTGGAGAGCTGGGCTGGTATTCTGAGAGGATGGGGGGCATCCTGCCATCACCATAGCTCCCTATGCCTCAGCACATTTTATGTCTGCCTGGACTGCTGAGCTCTCTGGGGCTGTCTTCCTTTCTCTTCTGAAATTCTCTCCTCCTCTAGCTGTGGGGCATTAGACCTGCTGGATTTCCTCCTCCACGTGTCTTCTGACAGCTCTCTCTTTCCTGGTGCCTCTTCTCTCACTTACCTCTCCCCAGGTGGGGTGTGGCCCTCCCGCTCTTCCATCCCCAATTCAACCCAGACTTTTTACTCTTGCCTTAGGACTAGTAGCTCTGAACCTTTTTAGGGTCAAGAACCCCTCTAAGGATCTGCTGATGGTGACTGATTCTTTTCCCGGAAAATTTTCACACCACATCAGAGGGCCCATGTCCAGATGCATTCCAGTCGCCTATGATGCTTGGTAAAAATGCAGATTCTTGGGCCTCTAAATCTAAACTGAATTAGGAACCCCAGATGGGGCCTGGGTATCTGCATTTTAATAGGCATTGCAGGCAATTCTGTGGATTCATATGAGAGGAACTCTATCCACAGGGCGTCAGTGGAGCTCTTGCAGGACACCCTAATCTAATCACCATAGTTACAGCCTTGGCCACGGCTAATATGTCCTGAATATACAGCTTCAGCCGGGAGCTCTCACCAACAGTACTGATGCATGGGCATGGTTATCAGACTGTCGTGGGAACTCTTGAAACCTACTGTGTACAGGCAAGTCTTGTGTTTTACAGTCAAATTATTCCTTCCACCAATCTCTGTATCCGAATTTGGCTCCCTCTGTCATCAGGAACGATGATTAATTGATTTCCTCTGACCTCTGTTAACTGGCCACATCACCCCCTTCCCAGTACGTGTGCGCCATCTGGTGGTAAAGTCATGGAGACACAGGCTGTACTGACCCTAGAGGATGTGGTGCCGTCTTAGTAGGGCTGTTATGTATTGAAAGCATATCCTCAAACACCTATTTATCCCAAGAGTCCCCACGCCAGTCAAAATAGCCTCTATCTGTGTTGCTGGCCCCCTGTTATCTGAAAGTCTTCCTCCTTTGTCTCCTACCCAATCAGATGTGGATTCTTGCTCATTCTGCTGAAATACCTCTTGAATGTCTAGCTTTCTCTACAATTCTACAGTCAGCTCATTTATACACAACCTTGTCACCGAGTTTAACTGCAAAGATCCCCTAGGGTTTTTTTTCTGCAATGCCCATCCTCCATGTCTCTCTTCCTGTGTCTGTGTCACTGTCTCTCTCGTCTTGTTGCACCTAGTTCTATCCATCTTCCAGCTACAAAGAGGCTATCAAACCCACACTGCTTTCACAGCATCATCCTCCTGCCTAAGAACCTCCTATGGCTCCCTCCTGCCTCACAGATACCATCTACACCTCCTGGCTTGACATTCAAGTGCTTCTGCTACCCACCATACACAGGTCCTTCTTCAGCCTCATCTCTACACACTTGACCAGTCCTCTAACTTCCTCCCACCCTGAATCTTATGAGTCCCCACCTCTGTACCTGTACTCCTGGTGGCCCCTTCATGGAAATGTCAGACCTCATCTGCTGCCATCTTAAGCCCCATTTCTTCAATGTCATGGCTCCAGGATCATCATCTTGAGATGCCTTCTCAGACCACTGCATGCCCACACTTCCCCAGTACCCTTTGTCAGGGGTATGGGAGTGAACACTTCACTGTAGCTCTCTCATACTGCATTACGATTTCAAAGAGTCCATCTTCCCCACATAGACTGTGAACACAACAGATACAGGGACCAGGATTTCTTGGTGGAGTTTGATGCACGTAGTAACTGCTTAGTTAATGCTTGTTTTGTGAATGGTCACAGGCTTAGATTTATAGAAAGACCTCGCCATTCCAATATTGGTAATCATTATATGTGGTCTAAAGAGGTGGGCGGATCACGAGGTCAGGAGATCGAGACCATCCTGGCTAACACAGTGAAACTCTGTCTCTACTAAAAATACAAAAAAAAAAAAAAATTAGCCGGGTGTGGTGGCGGGTGCCTATAGTCCCAGCTACTTGGAACGCTGAGGCAGAAGAATGGTGAGAACCCGGGAGGCGGAGCTTGCAGTGAGCCGAGATGGCGCCAGTGCACTCCAGCCTGGGCGACAGAGTGAGACTCCGTCTCCAAAAAAAAAAAAAGAAACAAAAGGAATTCAACTGCTCATGTTACAACCTCATTAGCTTGTCTGAGTACTCAAATAGAATAGTTGACAATAAGACACCCCTATTTGTGGGAGCAAAATCAATTTGGATTCATCTGAACCCCTTAGATCCTTGGGTAATTACACGCTAAGGAAGGTATGTGTTACCTGATCTGGGCTCTCAATTTTCCTCAGGCTAGTTCATGTAACAAAAGAGAAATCTAGCCAGCCAGCTTTCACTCCCGACTCCCCCCAGTGGCTCAGATGAGACAAGCTAGCTAGATGAGAACACTTGGAGGCCTCCTGGGACAGCCAAATCTCAGCCCCACAATGACAGCACCATCATTTGCTAACCCCCTGTGCTAGGGCTGCATTCATGGCCACCAGTATTGTTACTGGCCCTCCGTTTATTAGGTTGACTGCTTGAGAGATGACTAATTTAGGAATCTACAGTGAGGACAGCTCAGAAGTTAATCTTGGTTCCTTGAAACAAGTAAATGTGGTTTGATTGGCAAATGGGTCTTTGTTGAATTGCTTTAAAGGAAGGGTCTTTTGGCCAAATATAATGAGTTCTAAATACAAGGTGTAGAATCCGTTGCTTAGGGTCAGTAGATAATTAGGAGATTTGAAGGTCGGGGGTGATCTTTGTTTTCTGGGTTCGATGCTGGTTTCTCTTTCTTCCACCCATGGTTTCTCATTTAAAATTTTTTTCTGTTGTAGGACCTCCTGGACCACCAGGTAAGAGCCCTTGGACTTTTCTAGTTTAAGGGGAGGCTGTGGGTGGCCAGACCCCTAGGATCTCTCTGATGGGACAGATGAGGGGAGGGCAAGAGCCTGGAGGCAGTCCTGCTGTGTGTCTCCTTCTTTGTGCCCCTCACCTGAGGCTCCTCCATCACCATTCCCCTACTTGGCACTGCTTTTGCCAGAGAAGGAAGGGAAGAAGTGGGAGAGGATGTGGAAAAGGTATTGATGCCTGCTCAGTTTCATCGGTAAAGGAAATTACAGTAACTCCAGTGAAGAATGTTTTTTGTTGTTGTTGTTAATGTCCCTGTTTCTGTGTTTTGATGCAGGACCTCCAGGAGCTGGCGGGTTGCCAGGACACAATGGATCGGACGGACAGCCTGGTCCTCAGGGCCCAAAAGGAGAAAAAGGAGCAAATGGAAAAAGAGGAAAAATGGGTATTTTTGGCAACTCTTCTAATTAATTTCCCTGTTGTTTATCTCCATGATTGCATTTGGGTTGACTAAAGCTGTGTGCAGCAGGGGTAAGGTGCTTCATCTCTGCACAGTGTAAGACCGGTTTAACTCTTACCTAGAAGCCATTGTGTTCTGGGATACCAAGGGTATACTTCTTGGTCCCACCTTGACAGATGTTTATTTCAAACTGGAGAAGCCGTCTCCTGGGAACTGACTCCCTTCTGCAGACGGGAGGTGGAAGGAGCAGGAGCCCACAGCCCTGGGAGGGGCACTCTGTGGGCCGTGTGACAGCTGGTGCTGGCACATGCTCTTTCGAGCCTCAGCTCCTGCCTTGCCCTCTATTGCCTCCGCCTGCCCAGCGAATCTGTGTTTGGTTGAAAATCAATGAACTGATGTGGGCCCCTGGTAAAGCTTTTCTTGGCTAGAGGAATAGCTCAAACTGCTTGAGTGGAAAGGCAGCATCCCGGCGTCCCTGAGGCCGGCACTCAGGTCAAAGGGTCTCCTCTTCAGGGGCTACAGGATAACTACGAAGATATGGCTGGCATCTCGGAGGAGCTTCCTGTGCCCTATTATGAGCAGGGCCGTGCCACCACTGGAGCAAAGACCCAGAAGCACCAAGGCATCAGATGTGCCCAGGGAGCAGTAAGAAGCAGGGGCTGGTGCAGGGCCTGGCAGGAGGCTGGGGCACAGAGGGGAAGATTCTGAAGGGCTCTGAGCCCCAGTCCTGGGATCCCCAGGGCAGATCCACCTGAAGAAAGCTAGCACATGGTGTGTTGGGAGCTCAAAGACAGAGGGTAAAAAACGACTCAGGAGGCTCCTATGAAGGCCTGGCTCTCAGCCACCCGTCAAGGCCACTGCTGAGAGGGGAGGGAGGTTGTTTTCGGCCAGAGACTCCACTGCACCGTCTCATTTTCAACCTCTTGGCTCTGCCACCCAAACTCACTTGGACTTGCCCTGGACTAGAAGAAATGGTAGAAACTTCTTCCAGACAGCAATCACTCCTTTGGTCACCTCCACTCTTATTCCCATTAGCAATTGAAGTAAGGGCCAGTGGAGAGGGAAAAATTGTCGAGCACCTCTGCCACTTGGCAGTGCCTACCTGCTTGTGTTCCAGAGGGCAGCTTCAGAGAAAATGGGCACACATCGTCCAAGCCAGCTCAGTTCTCAGAAGGCCAGCAATTACCATTGGAATTACCGAACAGCAATAGATCGTTCATATAGGATAATAATTATAATTATACATGAGCATCGCTGTAGAATAATGATGCCTATTAGCTTATCCCAGGAAGACTCCAAAAATGTGATTCAGTCCTGAGGCCTCGGCAAGGGGCATGATGAGGGCAGGCTCAGGGGCAGGAGGGCACCCTGCTAGAGCTGGGTGTGGGGCACGTAGGAAAGGGGTGGTTTTCAAAAAGGCTTGAGACAGATCCCTGGCCTTGAGGATGTGCTTTGCATGCAGTCTGCAGCCCAGGGAGTACAGAAAAGAAAAAGTGCATTCGTTTATGGAGCACATATTTGTGTGGCAGGTACCATTCTAGATGCTGGAGATTCAGAAATAAGCTCCCCTCCTCCACCTTCATGAGGCTTACATTCTAGTTGGGAGAGATGGATAGTAAATAAGATAAACAAAATATACAGTCTGGTCCATGGTGATAAATGGTAAGGAGAAAAAATATCATAGAAAGGGGTGGGAAGTTTAAGTGGGGTTAGAGGCGGTACATTTAGATTGGGAGGCCAGTAAGACCCCCTAAGAAGGAGCCTTTGAGCAAATACCAGGAGGAGGTAAAAGAGAGTCTCGGGTTTCTGGGGCAGAGGGCTCTGCGCAGAGCGTATAAGTCACCAGGGTACCTGGACAGTTTGAGGATCAGCAAGGAGGCCAGGGCAGCTGGACAGAAGGGATGAGTGGCTAACCTAGTCTAGTTGAGATCAGAGAGGTAATCAGGCCAAATCAGGTCAGCCCTGGGCATTTCAAGAACTGTGGTTTGTACTCAGAGCAAAACAGGGAGGATGTGAAGTGGAACAGTGCTATGCCTGACATATGGATGAGAGGCTGGCCCGACAGCTGTGCTGAGAGGCTATAGGAGGGAAGGGAAGAGGCTGGAGCAGAGGACAGCAGCAGAGAAGGCAGAAGGTGTTGGATCCTGTTTGTCACTGGAGGGTGACCCCAATCCTTGGTTTCTGGGAGATCTCATAGGAACTACAGCAAAGACCCCCTTCTCTACAGCAGTACCCCAGAGAGTAAGGCTTCTGGGGGTCAGCAGCGTTAGACCGTGAAGCCTCCACTCATACTGAGAGTGGAAGTTGAGTCCCCCAGGCCCCCACAAGGAGTCCATTGTCCCAGGCCAGGGGAAGTGGGAGACTAGCCACCAAAGGCTATCTGAAGAACCCAGCTCGATGGGGTCACTCACTTCATGGGTCAGCTCAGGCTGCAGAGCAAGAGCCACACTGTCCTGTTAACCCTGCTGAGGCCCCAAGGCTGCACTTTCCCTCCTCATCCACTCCTGAGCCCTGGGACAGATTCCCTTCCTACCCAGCATTTGCAGGAAACGGATAGGGAGGAGGGTCCAGAGGCAGCAGGGCCACTGAGGGGAACAGGGTTCCTCCAGAGGGCCATGAGAAGCCCCAGAGGGTTGTCAGGTGGGAGAGACTGATGGGATCAGATCTGCCTCTCTAAATGCCACTGTGGCTGCTGCGTGGAGAGCGCACTGGAACCGGCAGGCGAGTGAGCCAGCGTAGAGGCAGGGAGATGGCCTCCGTAGGCGGCGGACAGTGGGCAGGGGTGGAAAGACCCACAGGGGTAAGTGATATTTAGGGGTGAAGCCAGCAGTTCCCAGTGGACAGTAGATACAGGGAGTTAGGAGGTCAGGGAGGCACCAAGACTGACTCTGAGGTTGCTGTCATGCTCGACTGGATGGATGGATGAGCTGCTCGGGCCTGAGGCGGGCAGCCCCGCACTCAACTCAGATCTAAAGGGACAATCATGGACTCTGCATGGGATGTGCTGAGTTTCAGATGCCCTGAGGTATCCAGGAGGAGGTGGGACGGTGGCCTTGGAAAACAGGTCTGTAGTCGGAGGAGGTCTGGGGTGAGAGATATATATCAGAGAGTCATCGAGGCACCTGGGCGTGTGGGCAGGGGGTGAGGTCACTTAGGGAGAGAGCCTGGCAGGAGAGGAGGGGCTGGGTTTCATCCCTGAGAAGCTCCAACCTCAAGTGACCAAGTAGAAGGGGACGAGTCAGCGAAGGGGACGAGTCAGCAAAGGAGACTGAGCAGGGGACTGAGCAGCAAGAGGAGCACCAGGAGAGGGTGGGGACATTCATCAACAAATACTTATTCAACAGACGTCGAGTGCTGTTGGGGAACCACAAAAGCCACAGACACTGTTCTGGAACTTTCCATCTTTGGTGGAGAGGCCAATATCCATAGTCGACAGTCACATCCACCTACCATCTCAACATGAGACGTGTGTTTGAAGGGAAGAACGAGGTGCTCCGAGGTACAGTGATAGAGAGGGAGGGCAGGGAGGTAACAGCTTTGGCTAGACATGAAGGGAGGGCCCGGTGCACACAGAGGGTGGGGTCACACAGTCAGGCGAGGTTGGAGGCTGGCCCCAGGCCTTTCCAGACCTTTGGATAAGCAGTCAGCTCCCAGGATGGCCCTGCAGGTCCTCACGTGGGTATGCAACCTGCCAGGCCATTGCTGTGACTGTAGAGAAGGAAGGACTGTCATTTAAACTGAGAGTTAAAGGATCATTCGTGGTTTGCCAGGCAGGGGTGGGGTAGGAGAGGTGTGGGAGTGCATTCCACAAAGAGGGAACAAGTGTTGTTTCGAAGAAAAGGAAAAAAGGCCTGGGTTCCACAGAGTTAGGGACCCAGTTAGGGTGGGGTGTGCCTTCTAGCAACAACCTTTGGAACCATAATATGCAGCCAGCATTTACCGCCAGACACTCCACTAAGGTCTCCGTACACTCAACTCATCTAGTCCTCACAACAACCAAGGGCATGAATACTTTCGTTAGCCATATTTTTTCCAGATGGAGATACTTTTGTCTTTCTCAAACAGGCCAAGCCCACCCTTGTCCTAGGACCTTAGCACGAGTACCGCTAGGGACCCAGAGTAGATTGGGGTGGGACTAGGGCATAGTGGCCTGTGCCCACTGCCCAGAATGCCCTCTCCCTGACTTCCCCTGTCTTCCCATGGTGCAGGTCTTAGCTCAGATGTCACTTCGTGTACATCATCATCCCTGGCCTCTGTGTCTAGCCCCTGTCTCACCTACTCTGTCACATCCCCTGCTCTTTTGAAATATTGACCTCTTCCTGAAATCACCCCGTGGTGATTATTTGTTGCTGCACTGAGGGTCTGACTCCCCAAGTGGAATCAATCAAATTATTGATCTTTCCCTGAAATCGACCCGTGGTGATTATTTGCTTTTTGCGCTAATGGTATGACCTCCCAAGTGGGATCAATTAAAATATTGATCCCTCCCTGAAATCATCCCCTGGTGATTATTCGCTGTTGTGCTAATGGTCTGACTCCCCAGTCGGAATCAATCGAAATATCCCTCCCTGAAATCACCCCATGCGGATTATTTGCTGTTGTGCTGATGGGCTGACTCCCCAAGCAGAATGTGAGGCCTGTCAGAGCTTGGCCATGTCTGTCTTGCTTAGTTCCTACCTTCAGTGCCTGGAACACACAGCCAAGGAGCTCAATAAATTCACTGTTGAATTATTGGATATAACTTGTGTAATGTCAAAAGCTAAAAAGTGAAGGAGGCAGGACTTGAATCCAGGTTTCTCTGACTTCTGGACCCCTGCTCTTAACCACAGTGACACTCAACTTCCGTGCTCAAGGGGCTTGGGCCCTGTTGTGAGAGCAGGGTTACAGGAGGTGCCGAAGAGCAGGAGCAAACAGGAAGGAAGCCAGGGCCCTGAACGCTGGTGCAGTTAATGATTGAGAATATAGGGCTTCAGACACCCTCCAAC